GTCAGCAGTCTTTCCCATGATTGTGATTCCTACTGAACCAGACTGAGAGACCATTTAAAGGCTCAGAAACCCTTTGCAGGTGTTATGGCTTAATTAGCTGATTAGAGTGGGACACTTTGAGCCGAGAATATTGCACCTTCTCACAATATTCTAATTTTCTGAGATTGTGGATTTGGAGTTTTCATGAACTGTAAACCATAATCATCTCAATTATGACACATCATGGCTTGAACTATCTTGCTTTGCATGTAATGAGTCTATCTCATATATTATTTTCACCTTTTAAGTTGAATTACTGAAATAACCGAACTTTTTCACGATATTCTAATTTTTTGAGTTTCACCTGTACATGGGACGTTAGTCATTGATTGCAGGACTCCACAATAAGGAGCAACACAACCAAGGAGCACCTGCTTTGTTATATACACTCTCCGGCCACTTTATTAGGTACACCTGTTCAATTGCTTGGTAACACAAATTGCTAATTAGCCAATCACATGGCAGCAACTCAATGCATTTAGGCATCATAATGGGGAAGAAAGGGGATTTACAAGACTTTAAACATGGTATGGTTGTTGGTGCCAGATGGGCTGGTCTGAGTATTTAAAAAAACTGCTGCTCTACTGGGATTTTCACGCGCATCCATCTCTAGGGTATACAGGGAATGGTCCGAAAAAGAGAAAATATCCAGTGAGTGTCAGTTGTGTGGATGAAAATGCCTTGTTGATGTCAGAGGTCATAGGAGAATGGGCTGACTGGTTCAGCTGCGACGTTCAGATGGTAGGGTCAGAATTTGGAGTAAACAACATGAAAGCATGGATCCATCCTGCTTTGTATCAATGGTTCAGGCTGGTGGTGGTGTAATGGTGTGGGGAATATTCTCGTGGCACTAGCATGTGTACCTAATAAAGTAGCCGGTGTGGGTATACAAGACTACAAATACCTAAGCATGCCACTTATCATAGGAAAAATGAAAGATTGGGAAGGTTCCAAAATTTCCATATTCTCTGGAGCAGATGTGTTCATTGGCTTCGGCTCTTAGTGGTACATTTCCCAAGCTAAGGGTTAATGGCTGAGCTGGGTGGGTAAGACGGAGCTGCTTTTAATTACTGTTCCTATGCTTAATAATCTTTCTCCTTGTAGTTCCAGTCCTCTGTTTAATCTCTTTAACAGCACTAATTGAATCCACAGAGAAAGAATACCCGATCTTCACAGCTGCAGCTTCAGGACCAACTCCAAGGGCTCAGTATGAGAGCTTGTGACCAATCCAAGCAATGATAACCCATCAACAGTTTGCCAGCATGCCATGCCGTACTGTACATCTGTATGGGCACAGTGTATGTTCACTTTAAAGCCAGCCAGAGTGATAGCAGGACATGCTAGGACTTTTTACAGGATATTTACTGAAACTGAAGGCATAACATTTTTGCAATTTTTGTACAGCGGCACCCCCACATCTCACCAACAAAATGTCACATATAGAGAAGAATATAGGAAGCTCTTGCTGCACGCACCTTCTCAGCGAGGACATGCTAAAGAAGAGTATGTTCTACAGCAGTCTTTCTCAACCTTTTTAACATGGAGGAACCCTTGAAATAAATGTATATTCTCAAGGAATCCATGACAATAATTACTACATCTACAGGTAATGGCACATTAGTGTGATGGACACTGGGAAGAATTCTCTGTACATTGGTTCATTGACTCAGCGGTAAGTTACCTGTGGTCATTGCTCAAGGAACCCCTAGCAACCTCTATGGGAACCATAGAGTTCCATAGAACCCAGGTTGAGAAAGGCTGTTCTACAGCATCTCCTGCAGATGAAACTCAGATACTTTCAGACTTATATAACCTCTTGCGGACCAGCCACTCTGCATATACGAGTAGCCTAAGCCCCTATTGTTAAAGGAGGGCATATCAAGAACTATACTACTCTACTCTCCTGTGTGCACACATCTTTGAGACTACATGGTGATTGAACACAGTAGATCAAAGGAGAAAGGTACAGAGCTAATGGGATTGGCTCTGTACCACGTGATTGCTTTACGCAATTCAAACACAGGATGCAGCTAACAGCTGGATGTGACTAGGGCTATGTTTTTGGCAGACCTTGCTGCCCCCCTGAAATTCCACAATGGACTTTTAGAGTTGTTTGACAGGCACATGTTTTAACCCTGTAAAGCACAGTAGGCACTGCATGTGTTTACAGGGTAGTTGCACTTGTGGCCCTAGTCACCTGGAAGGGGCAATTTTTGCTGTGCTACGCTGCGAAGAATTGTGGCCACAACATGTATATATCCCCATATGGCTGCCATTGCAGCTTGGGGGAGGTTGTGGTGGTAAACTGTCTATGGCAATCCCTGACCACAAACTAGGTGTTGGTGTGGCCAGGAAATGCTGTACCCAATGCAGAAAGAACAGCACATACAGGGACCAGGAGGAGTTACGAATTCCTGTATTTGAAAAGTAGTATTCCAGAAGGGTTGCAAGAGTACTTACAGCAACACAGTTGGTATCACTAGCATTAACAGGTGCAGTAACACTTGCAGTACCAGGTGCAGTAACACTGATGGCAGAATAGGCAATAGCAGTCTCACCGGTAATACCAGCAAGTCGGAAAGCATCAACACCATTATGAAGAGATATTTCTTTAAGCAAAGTATGGCACACTAAAATGTACTTTACTGCGACAGCATCTGCAGGGTGTGACTGACTGGCAGGGTGGAGGGTTTAGCTAGAAGCTCCAGAGGCTGGTGCTAACAGGGGGGCACAGTAGGGTCCCTACACTTTCCCTGCTTGTGCTGGAACCTTTCCCCATCGCTAAGTCACTATCCCAAACAAGCAGGTTTCTGTCCCTGCTCTGTCCACTCGCAATTGCGTGTCAAATCCTGGAAAGGTTCCTTATTTATAAGGGTTGCCCCATCCAAGAAGACCACTGAGGATTTCTGTGTCCAATCGGACAGCTGCTTTCCTTCTGCCGCCTATGAAAGCTGCAGAGGAACATCATTCCTCAGAGTGTCCACTTCATCCACACAGTGGCAAGATGCCACCTACTGAATGGAGTGAGAACTATACCAGCCTAAACCAGGGATAGGGACACAGGGACATTTCCAGGGACTCTATGCTTCTAAATTGGGGTTGGGGAATGGGGGGGGGGTGTGATATTTTTAGGACAATGCATTGGTACAGGAGGAGAATAGAGATTTGCAGATTGAATATGCTGGTGAGTCAAGGATGGAGGCACAGGGGCATTTGGTATTCAACAGTAAAATGTAGCCTACAATAAATATATGCAGGAAAAGTGCACCTTTCTTCCTCTTCTATGTATTTTCTTGTATATTTATAGGATAAAGTGTTGTGCAGAAGAGAATTTCCCTAGATACAAAGCAGTGAATGTTCTTTCAGACATAATGCAGGAGTCTGATAAACAGCAGAGGAGGATCTGGGTGACACACAATACAGCAGAGAGCTGGAATTCCCTAGCGGCTTTCCTTTCCCCCTCCCTTGATTCATTCTCACCATTTCAAAGTGATTCCTCTTAAAGGAGAACTCCCATTTGTACGGTAAAAGAAATCATAACATATCCTCATAATCATGCAAGGAGTGATGAAACCTTTTATGTGAATAAAACTTTTATGGTATTTCCTGCCTTCCAGCAAAACAGAAATCTTCTTCTTCATTCCAGGATGTGGATACCATGTCTACACTAAATGGGTGTGAACGGGGAAAATGATCCTTTGTAAACTTTCCCTGCTCTGTTCCTGCAAGAGCCTAGCCATCAGTTAATCTACATGATGTAGTAGACACATACACCTAGTTTGTCTGGTATCAGACTGCAGATTGGTTTGTCTACCATTAATATTAAAGTGTATATAAAGCCAAGCAACTAAGTTCTTTTTGCTGTCTGTGTTCCTGCAGCGTTGTTGAACCCTTCTGTTTGTCCTGGAAACCATTGTTAACAAAACAGAAAGTGATGGATTTAGAGATATTAGATTTCATTTAGACAAGCGATCTGGGGCAGATAGACTACTGTGTTCAGAAGCAGCTTAAATAACGCCTAGTCTTTGGTTTTGTGTAGGGTCCAATCTAATGTAATAAATCACCATTCTCATGAATGACCCTTAGCATTTCTTTATAATTTTGATGGTAAATGAACAAGGTTTTGCAGTCTGACAACCAACATATTATTGCACAGAATAAAATTACGATTTGATAGAGACCAACTATGATAAAAATCCCAGAGTATTTTTTTTCTCAGAGAACAGGTGCAGGTACTCCCCCCTCCCCTGAGCCACCCCTTGTAACCACCCCAGACCTATCCCTGAGCACTGTCCTTTGTCTTTGCCCCCTATCCACCTCCTAGTACTGCCTCTTTTTAGAGAATACAGAGCTATTTTGTGGTTTTAAGTAATTTGTATGGAATTGGTTAATGATAACAGACTTCCCCCTGCAGCAACAGATCCCCACAGCAACAATGGATTCTTCCCAGCAATAATAGAGCCTCATTCCAGGAACAAAATACACCCCCAGTAACAATAGAGCCCCCCCCACCAGCCACAATAGATCTGACCCAGCTACAAAAGACCCCTGCTGGCAACAACTGATTCCCCTGCAACTTGCATCATTAGGCCCTCCCCCTTAATCAGTAGATCCCCCGAACAACATAAGATCCCCAGAGCAACAATAGATCCTCCAAGCAACAATAGACCACCCCAGCAACACTACAGCCTCCAGCTACAATAGATCACAAGTAGCCAGCATCAATAGACCCTCCAGCACACCCCAATCTTCTTTTCCAGTACAAACATTCTGTTCTAGAGGTGCTCCCCCATGTTCCCACTGAAAAAAGCCCTGATAATTCCTATGTATGTTTTGCTTAGGAAACCTAATACATAGTATTAGCCATCTGCTCCTAGTAATATAGGATTGCTTGGTGTCTGATGGTTATTTTCTTATACATTAATGAATTTGTGTTTTAAGACTATAGCTCTATCATAGCAGGAATGATGAAAATTGTACAATGTTTGGCTCTGAAAATTTGAGCTCAGGTCAACACTCAGACTCATGTACAGTATGTGCCAGGGGCGGACTGACAACTCATGGGGCCCCCGGGCAATAGGGGATCATGGGGCCCCTGTGTCCTTGTCCAAACAAAAAAGCCTATGAAAAAGGTACCAGGGGCATCTCATGGGGCCCCCTACTGACCCCAGGCCCTCGGGCAGTGTCCGAGTTTCCAAATGGTCAGTCCGCCGTGGTATGTGCATTTCATTACTAGACACATTTTACAACAAGGCTTCATTAGGAGGCTTTCCAGGCTCTACAAAGTACTATTTGCAATACTGCTAGAACAGGGGTGTCAAACTGGTGGCTCTCCAGCTGTTGCGAAACTGCAAGTCCCTTCATGCCTCTGCCTTTGGAAGTCATGCTTGTAACTGTCAATCTTGCAATGCCTCATGGGACTTGTAGTTTGGCAACAGCTGGATGGCCGCCAATTTGACAACCGTGTGCTAGACGTTTCACAACCTTCTGCCTGGCATCTAACATTCTCTGATATCCCACTAACTTGGGCATGTTTTCTGTCAATTGTGTTGTAAACTGGAATGTTTTCTTTTACCAATTGTATTAGATCCCATTAGGCGAAGCATTCTCTGAATGGTGCACATGCCAACTGGCCAACTTCCTATGTGCACAATGCATCAGGTCAGCCGCTCACCGCAGGAAACAGAAGCAAGTGGAGATCACTGGAGTAGTAGTGTCTACTTCAGTGATTTGAAGCTTCCAGGGCATTGGCTAGGTATAGTATATACATAATTATTTTGGACCAAGCTGAACCAATGTAACTATGTGTAAAATATCCATGCCTGGTTAATTCTACCAGCTGCTAATGGCTGTTTATACTTGCAATGCCATTAAAGTGGATGTAAACCCTAACTGAATGATTTTTTTTGCCCTGTTTATAATAATCTGCCATTTTTTTCATAAATTACTGCTTTCATCTTATTTCATTCAATTGCTGTCTGCATGCAATCTAAAGGGCTCTGCATGGCATTGCTCAGGAGAGATTTCCTAATGGTGACAACAGTAGATCATGCTTGTGTAATGTATGTTAAAATAGCCACTTGTAGTCTACAATAGAGGTCTATATGACACAGTGACAACACAAGAGCACAACTGGGAATCAAGAAAAGATTGTTGTCACCCTGTAACAGGAAGTACCTAACCAAGGATGTTCACGGTAGGTATTATTTAAAGCTGAACTCGAGGGCAGATGTAAAGGACACAAATTATTAGTTCAGCTTTAATGAAAGCAGCAAGTGCAGGTTTAAAATATTGAAATGGTTTGTGAAATGACATTGGCAGGGTAAAATTTATATGAGATTTAAGTGATTGGGTCAAGGATTTGGCATTGTCTGCTAGTGCATGAAAAGAGATCAGCATGATAGTGACCAGTGAGACGGATCAGGGAACAGCGAAGTCTTCATCAGTTGTGTTTGCAGGTACAATAAAGTGGGATGACCAGATTTCTTGGATATGGCCTTTAAGAAACCACAGTCTAAAGTTCTATTTCTATATCCTGACTTCATGAATCAGTCTTTTTATAACAGTATGCAATATTCATAAATATTAATGAGATGAGTGTATTTATTGACAATGTATATCCGCAAACACATATGTATATCTGCACACACACCATCCCTCCACATTAGTCATTAAGGTTTCTGCCTCACCAGTTCTGTGAATTATTTATATCCTCTACAGTTCCCAGATCAGGCCCACATCCTTCGCGTGACGTAGGCTCTTGGGTTATACTGTCAGGAATTTAAAGGATCATTCCACATAAAACAGAGATTTACATTTTTGGGGGAGATGCCTCTGTAACTGAAGTCTGGTGAAGACTGAGATTGAGCTCTGCAGTCACTTTTGCAGCAGTTGTTTTCCTATGCCAGGTCACAATCTTGCGCAATGTCCTTTTGTCTCTTTCGGTCAGTTCATCATGTTGACCATGCTTATGCTTATCAGACAATATCTTCCCGGAAGCTATTTATTCCGTCATAACCTTTGATACCGTACCTTGTGACACGTTAAATAAATTGGCAACTTCAGTCAAAGAGGCACCAGCTAAGCGACACCAACAATTTACCCTCACGACTCCGTATTATTAGCAGCGCACACATCAAATGACGAAAGTGAGGCTTCCCACTTGTTAGCTAGGTGTCTCATCGCAAAAGAATGCTACATCACTTCCGCTATCAACACAAAACATGTGTTCAATATTGAGTTCAATATTGAGTTGGTCCGCCCTTTGCAGCTATAACAGCTTCAACTCTTCTGGGAAGGCCGTCCACAAGGTTTAGGTGGGTGTCTATGGGAAGGTTGGACCATTCTTCCAGAAGCACATTTGTGAGGTCAGGCACTGATGTTGGACAAGAAGGCCTGGGTCGCAGTCTCTGCTCTAATTCATCCCAAAGATGTTCTGTCGGGTTGAGGTCAGGACTCTGTGAAGGACAGTCAAGTTCCTCCACCCCAAACTTGCTCATCCATGTCTTTATGGACCTTGCTTTGTGCACTGGTGCGCAGTCATCTTGGAACAGGAAGGGGCCATCCCCAAACTGTTCCCACAAAGTTGGGAGCAAGAAATTGTCCAAAATGTCTTGGTATGCTGACGCCTTAAGAGTTCCCTTCACTGGAACTAGGGGGCCAAGACCAACCCCTGAAAAACAACCCCACACCATAATCCCACTTCCACCAAACTTTTCACTTGGCACAATGCAGTCAGGCAAGTACCATTCTCCTGGCAAGTGCTAAACCAAGACAAGTCCATCGGACTGCCAGACAGAGAAGAGTGATTTGTCACTCCAGAAAAAACGTCTCCACTGCTCTGGTGTCCAGTGGCGGCATGCTTTACACCACTGCATGCAACGCTTTGCATTGCACTTGGTGACGTAAGACTTGGATGCAGCTGCACAGTTATGGAAACTAATTCCACGAAGCTCTCTACGCACCGCTGTTGTGCTAATCTGAAGGCCACATGAAGTTTGGAGGTCTTTAGCTATTGACTCTGCAGACAGTTGGCAAATTCTGCGCATTGTGCGATACAGCATGCGCTGACCCCGCACTGTCATTTTACGTGGCCTACTACATCTTGGCTGAGTTGCTGTTGTTCCCAGTTGCTTCTACTTTGTTATGATACCACTAACAGTTGACCGTGGAATATTTAGTAGCCAGGAAATGTCACGGACGGACTTATTGTGCAGGTGGCAACCTATCACGGTGCCACGCTTGGAGTCACTGAGCTCCTGAGAGCAACCCATTCTTTCACAAATATTTATAGAGGCACTCTGCATGCCTAGGTGCTTGATTTTATACACCTGTGGCCATGGAAGTAATTGGAACATCTGAATTCAATGATTTGGAGGGGTGTCCCAATACTTTAGGCAGTATAGTGTATATATATATATGTAGCAATTGTACGTACAGATATGGACGCGGACATCCATGTTGCTAAAGATCCTCCATCTTGTGTCATTCTCACTCCAAATCGGTCCCACCTCCCCTTTTTGTTGAATGGCATGTGGTCTGGTGTGGCTGAGTTCAGGAGTGCACAGGGCACAGCTGGATACCCTTCATGGTTGTAAACCCAATTAGCTGATGCCATGGTATCTGTCTGACTCTTGCTCTGAGCTGCTCATAAAGCTATATACCCGCCAGTCACTGGACTTGAAAGCATTCCGGAATAGCAGTAAAACATACATCTCATTTGGAAACCACTTTTTCATACAATTCCATAACTTCTCACAGGAAATACATACAATGAAACAAAACATATATTCAGACAGGTCAGTTTAATGCGATTCACCTGATACCTTACATCCCTAGATTACATCTGCCCGAGAGCAGAAAGCGATATCTCTTTAACCGTCCCACACAGATATGTCATATTTGGTGTCTGGACGTTCAGAATATCATTCTGCATATTATCCTACCAGTGGATAGGATGCTACATGTACCTATGGAAGGTGATTGACCATGGTATAACTTGGGAGGAATTTTGGTACTAGCCTGGGTCTCCGCCTAAACCCCCTCCCCACACGAGGCGATTGCCCCTTGGCTTCAGAGACACCCCCTGCTGGGGGACTAGAAAATAGGCTGTCAGGCCCGAGAGAAGTAAGATGAAGATATTACTCCCATTTAACATCAGGAACCAACTTTGGGAGAAACGGTACTCTTTTGCTCAGGACACTTGAATCTGCTTACACCAAGTACTCTGGCAAGTATTCTACCTCTCTAAACTTCTTTCTGTTATCTCTCTGTTGTGTTATTGCTCTCTGTATTTATATATATATATTGGCTACATCTTTTTCTGTAAATATTTTTATTGCACCCTTTTGACCTTTTTAGTAATAAACCCTATTTTCTGAAAAGTGTTGAACTGTTTCTAAAGCTTTTTAATGCAAACTAAGAATCCCTGTCTCTGAAGAGCGCTACTGTGTGTTTTAAACTTCTGCATACATCTGCCTGCGGTGACAGTGTGTATACAGACACTATATTCAAACATCATAGTGTTACTGCTAAGATTGGCAAGTTTTCTCCTCTGTATAAAAAGGCTGTGGTGGCAGTGTGAAAGGTTAATTGCGTAATGAACCTGACCCAGTAGCAATCGCTCTCAGGCTGCGGCACATAGATTGTGGTCCAGTGAGCTGGAAATGCTTTGTGCAGGGTGCAGCTGAGCGTGGCATTGTTACTCAGGGTGTATCCTTCCCTTTTTTTAGATTGGCTAGTTCTTCGGTCACAGAGTTGGTGAGAAGGGCTGGGGGTCTGACGCCGCGCCCGTCACTATATATATATATATATATATATATATATATATATATATATATAAATCTATATATATATACACCCCTTTAGGGGTGAAAAGTGTTGAAGGTGTTGGGGCAGGGTCCAGTGGAGAGCAACGTCCTTCAATTTGGCATTTTGAGTCTATTCAAGTTGCAATAATGTACCGTATTTTGGATTTACGGAAAAAAAAGAAGAGGGTATGCAGCTTTTTTCTTGTTTGAACATTGGAATTCCTAGGGAGGTACGGACCCGCTTCAGTCAGCACCGGTGGCCAGTGAATGAGCCCCAAGATTGCTTGTTAAGCATTTATTTTTGCCCAAATATAGAAGTGCCAGCATGTGTCAGATACCTTGATGACGAAATGACTAATTTGCATACCTAAACTATTTTTAAACTATTTTTTTAAGACATAAAAGGTTTTTACTTGTTATTTACAGGCTAACAATGTAAAAACAAAGTTGCAATTTTTTTTTTTTACTTTTTAATTCATTTATTAATATTTTTTTAATACTGTAATTGTATCTGACAATGTGAACTGACTGTATGAAAGATATACAAAGGCCTTGATGTACATCCCCAACCCCACTGCAAGTTAACAGTTTACTTATTCTAGGGGACAGTTTTTATACTTTTACTTACCTGATCCTCGCTCCCCCGACAGTTGGCACTCCCCCATGCTCCAGAGGGGAATTGTCCCTTGGACACATCAAGTGGTAGGGCAATGAACCCTGCTTTGGTCTTGATGACATCAGGACCTCAGACCACTGGAGCATAAGGGAGCATAGGGGAGAAGACACTGCAGGGACCAGTCTAGCAGCATGGAGGAGTGGAGGATTGGGTAAGTAGATCTTCTTTTCTATATCCCCTAGATTAAACTGAGAAGTTAACCCTTGCAGTTCAGCTGCAAGTGGTAATTTTTAAGTTACCTGGAGTTCAGCTTCAACACCTTCCTGCCGGGCCCATAGCAGATTGACGGCAGGGCGGGACACTCGCCATTGTGACTTGGTGTCCTATGATGCTCCTGTCAAAATGAGCCGCTCACACAGCCATGGGGGCCACGCAGTGGAGCGATATGTCATCGGCTGTGTCCACAGGACACAGCCGATGACATATCACTACACCGGCCCATTGTCAGTGTCATCTGACCACTGTGACCAATCAAAGCAGATCACGTATACAATGGATGGCTTCCTGTTATGCCATCCATTGTATACAATTATGTTGTTAACTGTGACTGGTCAAGGCAGTCACATGATACAGACAGGGCCAGTCACAGCCCATCTGTATCATGTGATCAGCTTTGCCCAATCACAGCTAATCACAACAAAAGACTGAATGAATCAGTTTCATTCAGTAACAATGATTGCAAATATCAATGAAATACATTGGTATTAGCAATCATAATGTGTTAGAAAAAAATCCTGATCACTTGCCCAGAGTAGTTCAATGTTACTATGGTAACATTGTATTGCTTTGGTCACAGTGTGCTGAAAAATATAATAGTAAAAAAAAGAAAAATTTTTTATAAAAAAAAAAAAATAATAGTAACATTTGAAAAAAAAATATAAATTCAATTATTATTATTATTTTCACCAAATAAATGTAGCAGAATACATTTTGACCTAAATGTATGAAGAAATGTTATTTATTTGCAAACTTTTGTAACAGAAATGAAGAAAAGTAAATTTTTTTCAAGTTTCAGGTGTTTTTTGTTTTATTTAGCAAAAAATTAAAACTCAGTGGTGATTAAATACCATCAAAAGAAAGCTCTATTTGTGTGAAAAAAATGCTAAAAATTTCATATGGGTACAGTGTTGCATGATCGTGCAATTGTCATTCAAAGTGCGACAGTGCTGAAAGCTGAAAATTGGCCTGGGCAGGAAGGGGGTGAAAGTGGCCGGTATTGAAGTGGTTAAAGCTGACATGAGGTTTCAGTGATTGGCATTTGCATAGGCTTTAACTTGACTGTACAATCAAACACCTGGAGGTATGAAAAGACCCAATATATATATACGGAACATATGTATGCCTCAGGGTAAAAATTAATACAAATCAATAAATAAAAGCATTGAAATCTGGTCTGCCAGCAGTAGGGAATGACTGGAACAGAATGTGCTATCAGCAGTAACTAACACGTGCATTGAATTGCCAGCCACCCTCGCAGGATAGGAGGAGTTAAGCCGAGCTAAAATAGTTTTTTATTAAGAAATATTGCACATGTCAGCATTCTCCATTTTCATTTCTCCCATTGATCAGAAATTAGTTATTCTGCAAATCAGGCATTAATTATTAAGGGCATCGGATACCCCTGTCATCAGCTCCCTGTCAGGACTGAGAAGCAGAGTAGAAGTGCAATCAATGGTGACTTTCCACATGTCAAATAACAGAATGAAGACCATTTCATCAGATGCTGGGAGTAAAGTGTTCAAAGCCCTCTTGCAATCATATGTCATAGTCCCGCACTATGAAACCTCTGAGGTGCTTCTATTGGTGGCTGCCAGATTGATAGAGATTAATCCTATTAAACCAGATAGGAGGAATCCTTGGGGCTGCTGATGAGTCAATGGCCTGATCCCAGGAGGGATAGCCTGTGAAAGCGTTGCCATTGTTAATATCCATCACACTGATGGTGAAAACATGGTGGTTTAAAGGAAACATGTCATATGGGGCTGTCGTTGCTGACTTCTTTCCATGGGTGCTCATAGCTTGGCTGGTCTGTCTGACTGCCGTGCTTGTTGGGCCTCTAAACTAGAAAAAGCATGCAGCAAGCAAAACCTGAGTCAGAATGCAATACTGTTTCCATGAGTCAAACGTACTGAAGAGATGGAGCTGGTAGGTAACATTTTCAGGAGATTGGTAGTGGCAGCCCCGCTATTTCATTTATAGACAGGTGATCAACATGTGATCCAACCCATTTTGAACAGGTTAGGCAACGAAAGTAAAAGTTGTTGCACCAACCATTTTGTGGTTGTTTTCATTACTGTATCCTCTATTGACATGGAGATAAGAAGGAGGAACCAGTAAGCACTGCAAAGGGACACAGGGGTGCATTTACTATAGGCAAATAGACTGAGCACTTTGCAAAGTGCAGATGCCCTCTGCAAGTGCAGTTGCTCCAGAGCTTAGTGAATGAGCAGAAGCTCTGTTGACTTCCATCCAATTAGGTGCAGGCAAAAAAGCTGTTTTTTTTTTATTTTCCTTACATGTGATTGGGTATTCTTTGCAAAGTGAAGCTTTACCTCATTTACTAAGCTCTGGAGCAACCGCACTTGCAACTGCTCTTTGCAAAATGCATAGTCTATTTCCCTTTAGTAAATCAACCCCACAGTCAGGGGCGAATTTACCACCAAGCAAACAAGGCGTTTGCCTTGGGCAGCATTTTTCAAGGCAGGAAGTGGTGGCGCAACATCTAGAGGGGAGCATAAAGTCACTCCGTCCTTAACATTTGTCTGTCTGTCTGACACTGCGCTCCCGCTCCTACTGCTGCTCTCCATAGTAGCCTGAGGCTCAGAGCCTGCCCAGAGCTCGGCAAAGGGCGCTCTTTGATTTGCCGAACATGGTCACGTATGGCAGCGGGGCTGGCCTGTGGGTGATCGTGGTCGGCGCAGGCGCAGCCACTTGCTTCCACCTTGCTGTCTGAGCAGGTGAGTGTTGCCAGTCCAGAGGAGTGTACACTGGTCCAGGGAGGGAGGACTGTCAGCAGTGTGGTGGAGCAGCCGCTAGCCAATGTAGACGCTGCAGCATCTCCAGCAAAATCTATATCCGAGACCTGGTAACGGCGGCAACTGCTGCAGCCAAAGAGGCCAATTAGCCCTTTATATGCCAAATACTCGGTGGGTACACAAGCAGGACCATCACTCCCTGCCCCCTCTCTCTCTCTCCCTGCCCTCTCTCCCTTGTGCAGGGAGGGGGACAGTTGGCGGTGTGATGAGGCAGCCGCTGGCCAATGTAGGTGCTGCAGCATGTTCCAGCAAAATCTGTATCCCAAGACATGGTAGCAGCAGTAGCAACTGCTGCAGCCGAAGAGCTCAATTAACCCTTAACATGCTGAATGCTTGTCGGGGACACAAGCAGGATCATCACTCCCTGCCCCCCCTCTCTCTTTTGGGCCCCCAGTTTTTGTATTGCCTAGGACAGCACAAAACCTAAATACATCACTGCCCACAGTATGGTAGTGTTGGCTTCTGAAAAGACTTTGGGGAACAGCTTCTCTGCAATAGAGCCGTGTTGCTCGAGGAATAGGTACATAGTCCATTTAGGATGTGCAAGCATATGGATATGTATATGGAGACAGACATAATTTCTCATAATGTCGGCACTCTGATACCCAGAGAAGACTCCAGAGGGAGAAGCGTGTGGGCTCCACACAGTGCTCTGATGACTGCACTGTGATGCATCCAATAGGGTCTCCACTCAATGCATATCTCTTGATTGTCATTTGCATACCTCCCACATTTGTGGGATAGGAAAGAGGGACATATTACAGCACAAAGTATGTAGGAAAAAGGAATGTCCCTGCCATGTCCCCAGCAATGCAAACTATTAAAATGATTGGTTTAACCCAAAATTCCTTTTTTTTAACAACTACTTTTCCTTGGTTGAAGTGGTTGTAAACCTCACACATGAAATATGAACAAAGCATATCCCTCTATAACAACGGTCATTAAATGGCGGACCGCGGTCCGAACACGGACCAAGTAATGCTCCTGTCTGGAACGTCAGTCCGCCAGTCTAAAATGCCAGATCCCCGCTGCTCAGCAGTCATTGGTTGCTGGGACTGCTGGCTTCCCAGCAACCAATGACATTGCATGTGTGCCCCGCCCCCTGCTGCTCCCTATTGCTCCCAGCAAGCTATAGTCACGTGTGTGCTGTACCCCACCCCCATCAGCAAGGCTCTCGGTGCAGCTCCCGCCACCTGCAGCTTGCTACCTCTGCCCTCTCCAGTTCCCTGCCAGCCTTCAAGGTGTGCAATGTGTGTACTTCAGAGAATCACAGGGGCACATTGATGAACACTTTGTTAAGGGGCACGCCGATGGGCACTTTATGTTAAGGGACACGCCGATGGGCACTTTTATGTTAAGGGACACGCTGATGGGCACTTTATGTTAAGGGGCATGCTGAAGGATACTTTATGTTAAGGGGCACGCTGATGGAACTTTATGTTAAGGGGCACATTGATGGATACTTTATGTTAAGGGGCACATTGATGGATACTTTATGTTAAGGGGCACATTGATGGATACTTTATGTTAAGGGACACGCTGATGGATACTTTATGTTAAGGGGCACACTGATGGATACTTTATGTTAAGGGGCACGCTGATGGGCACTTTATGTTAAGGGGCACGCTGATGGGCACTTTATGTTAAGGGGCACGCTGATGGATACTTTATGTTAAGGGGCGTGTTGATGGGCACTTTATGTTAAGGGGCATGCTGAAGGATACTTTATGTTAAGGGGCACGCTGATGGAACTTTATGTTAAGGGTCACATTGATGGATACTTTATGTTAAGGGACACGCTGATGGATACTTTATGTTAAGGGGCACACTGATGGATACTTTATGTTAAGGGGCACGCTGATGGGCACTTTATGTTAAGGGGCACGCTGATGGGCACTTTATGTTAAGGGGCACGCTGATGGGCACTTTATGTTAAGGGAAACGCTGATGGATACTTTATGTTAAGGGGCGTGTTGATGGGCACTTTATGTTAAGGGGCACATTGATGGATACTTTATGTTAAGGAGCATGCTGATGGATACTTTATGTTAAGGGGCGTGTTGATGGGCACTTTATGTTAAGGGGCACATTGATGGATACTTTATGTTAAGGGACACGCTGATGGATACTTTATGTTAAGGGGCATGTTGATGGATACTTTATGTAAGGAGCATGCTGATGGATACTTTATGTTAAGGGGCATGCTGATAGGCACTTTATGTTAAGGGGCACGCTAATGAATACTTTATGTTAAGGGGTACGCTAATGGATACTTTATGTTAAGGGGCACATTGATGGATACTTTATGTTAAGGGGCATGCTGATGGATACTTTATGTTAAGGGAGACGCTGATGGATACTTTATGTTAAGGGGCACGCCGATGGGCACTTTATGTTAAGGGGCATGCTGATGGATACTTTATGTTAAGGGGCACGCCGATGGGCACTTTATGTTAAGGGGCATGCTGATGGATACTTTATGTTAAGGGGCACGCTAATGAATACTTTATGTTAAGGGGTACGCTAATGGATACTTTATGTTAAGGGGCATGCTGATGGATACTTTATGTTAAGGGGCACATTGATGGATACTTCATGTTAAGGGACACGCTGATGGGGCACTTTATGTTAAGGGTCACACTGATGGGCACATTTTTTGCCCACACATTTTACAGAATGTGCTATCTGCATGTCCCTTAACATAAAATATGCTCATCAGCATGCGCCTTAACATAAAATGTGTCCATCAGCATGCCACTTAGCATAAAATAGGGGGCACGCTGATGGGCATTTTATGTTAAGGGGGCACTCTGATGAGGGCATATTGTGGAAAGGGGCACTCTGATGGGCACACACAATGTAAAGGTACAAGCTAATGGGGAATATATGATAGAAAAGGGCACTTTGATGGGCACAACTGATGTAAATAGGGCACTCTGATGAGGAAAATTGATGTGATGGGGACACCTGATGTAAGTGGGCACTCTGACAGGAATACCTGATTTAAGGTGGCACTGTGATGGGGACATCTGAAATAAAGGAGCACTCTGATGGTACATGTAATGTAAGGGGTCACTCTGATGGGAACACCCTATGCAAGAGGTCACTGTGATTGGGAAACCTTTTATAATGGGGCACTCGGAAGAGGACAAATGACGTAAGGGGGCATACTGATGGGTGACACCAGAGATTAGGGGGTGCTCTGACAGGAATACCTGATGTAAGGTGGCACTCTGATAGGAACACATTACCTCTAATGGGGACACCTGATATAAGTTGTTACAAATTGTACATTTCTCATTTTTGATAGGCATACAGTGACTAAAATATTTCTGAGTCATAGCACAAACTTGAGATTCGAACCTCGGCCAGTAGAAATTTTTAATTACCGGACCTCCTTGAATTTGGATTCAATACCCCTGCTCTATAGTGTGTACTTGTCTCAATTAAGAGCACATTCCTCTACTATCAGCATGAATCAATTCTGACAAGTTTTCCTGACACCAAGAGAAAAAAAGTGACAGGGAGGGATCTCTAGCACACAGCCTGTAATTGACAGCCTCAGCTCTGTTCCTGTGAGCTGTGTGAAGGGGTGTGTGTCCCTTCTTTCCAATCAGCTATCAGAGCTCTCCTCACCGAGCTCTGCAGTGTATAGTTTCAGCTCTTCACCCCCTTTTTCTGAAAGCTCATACAAGTTTTATAAATTCTGGACTTTGAACGGACGTAGAGAAGATTACAGATAAACAGGTATAACTTATGCAGGAGGATTTGTTTCATCTCTGTGTATCACTTGAGACCAGTCACTTCACTGGGTATATGTAAGGGTTTAGAACCACTGTAAATAAACATTTTTACAGAGACCTATACATTAAGTCAAAAAGAGGGACAACTGAGGAGGAAAAAGGGACAGAAGGATTTGGTCCCAAAAAAGGGACAGTCCCTCTAAATGACAGACAGTTGGGAGCTATGCATTTGTCTAGTAGTTGTTACTGTAGGTATTGTTACTGAGTCAGGTGTACACCTTGACTAACTCAAATCTGGGGAACCAAAAGCCCAAATACTCCGTTCTCCCTCAGGTACCATATAGATGGTGCATCAGTGAGTCTTTGCAGAGACCTAACTGTCTGAGCATCAGTAGAAGTTATAAAAACCAGCTTATAATTGGTGTTCTCCCTTAAGAATGTAATGTTCCTCCTTTTAAACCTGACAATATGACTCTCCAACAGTTGGCCTTCATGAACCTTCCCTCATGCACCGCTCAGAATAACTGTCTGACCTGCATTTCACTGCATGATAACATTGTATTTTGGGTAACCATTTGAAGATGTAGACAAATAATTTTCCTTTTATTGTTTTGGCATTTCAGCCTGGACCGAGAGAGAGGCGGTAATTTAGAAGCAAGCTCCTTTAAAAGCCTTTATTGTGCTCATAAAAGAGTCCACACATTGTTCTCTGTATTAACTCTCTTGTCCCGACACTATTCAATGTGATATTGGTCTTTTTTATGAGTGCTATAAAAGAACAGTGAGACAAAGGTGGAGATAAATAATAACTATATTTGTTCCTGGGAGAGAAACAAGCTAAACAGAGGTGTCTATGTGTTTAAACGGGGATGAGAGGTCAATGCTTCTAGACACCAGGTCTGGGTA